AGGAATTGTACTTATTTATGTTGTGGCTGAATCTTACTGTTCCTTTAACCTGTTCATTATTAGTATTCAATGGTTAAGAGAGAGTCATTCTTTTGATACATATTCGACCAGAAAAGCTGAGATATCAGAACAGAAGGGAGCATACGTATCATCTAGGCCAATGGTGATATGTTATGATAAGTAATCGTAGATTACAGATGGTTTTAGTATAACTCATTTTGTATGCTCTCGGAGGTTTACACCACAATCCCCCCGCCATTGATTAAGTGGTTTCAAATCCGCTCCTCCTTTATCCCTAAGTAGTTATGTCAGGGAAGGTAAATAAAGTAGATGCTCAAGTGTTTCCTTTCAACCTGATGTGTTCTTGGCTTGCAGATCCATTTTAAAGAATATTGTTGAGTCAGCATCCATATTGAGCACCTACTATGTGCAAGGCTCGTTTCTGCTTTTGCAGGTCATTAGTTTGTTAACACCAGTTCCTTCTCCAAATGAAAGATGTTAAAATTGTTCATGTGCTTTGGTATGAAAGGGGCCTCTTAGGTAGAGGAGCTGGTTCAAGGGCCTGGTCTGTGTTTCTCTCTGGCTGTGTTTTAGTTCTTTGGGGACCCTGGGATTTCCATGTGTCCAGACTGCAGAAATGGCAGTCATATTGAAGGAAGGAGGAGTGTGTATAGGACACGAGGCTGCTGCTCAGGGCGACTCGGCAGGACTCTGCTTGCAGTATAATTGTTTTTCTAAACTTTTCAGGTCCTTCAAGCTTCACATAAAGCTGTTTTATTTCAGGAAGAGCCATTGTAACATAAGAAAATATTTCCTCCCCTCTAGCGTCTTGCTTATAAAAAAAAGTCATCAACTTGACCTCTAAAGGGAGACTCGGTCACCAAAGAATGTTGAATCTGTGTGACATTAGCACACACGGGAGTCGGAGTTGATCAGACAAATGGGAGCAGAGGCAGAGAGTTGGAGGTGGCCCGTCACTGCTGCACAGGGACCCTGGAATAACTTGGCCTGATCGCCCTTTCTGTTGAGTCACTGATTTACAGGGATGTTGTCAAATTCAGGTTTTGAGCTATAGCCATGTAGGTGATTTGTGTCCACACGGTGGCCCCACCCACCTTGGATCTTGGGGATTTTGGATGAGAAGCCTTGCACCTACACCCCATGTGGCCTTGTGTCTGTTTTGCGTGATCAGATTTCATAGGTGGTGTAGTTTTGACCATTGAAATCTCGCCCCAGGGCGAATTACCTGCCAGAAATTCCAGCAGCATTCTTTCACCCTAGTCCTTAAATCATTCGTTAGGCGCCAAGACAAAGGCCCTAGTTGCCAGTGTGCCGATGGCGCAGGTCGGGACCGCACAAGGCCGTGTGGTCTGGGTGATTCTTGTGCTGTTTGCAGCCTCGTTGGTGGGTTAGCCCTGTCAGAAACCAAATGCCATTCCTCGTTCCGTAAGCTAAGTCCTACTTTTTGATATTTTGTTTTTTGTTGTTAGGTGCTTTTGAGTAGGTTCTGACTCACAGCCACCCTTCATACAACAAAACAAAACACTGCCTGGTTCTGCACACCCTCCTCACGATCGCTGCTGTGTTCGAGCTCATTGTTGCAGTCATTGTGTCAATCCATCTTGTTGAGGGTCTTCCTCTTTTTCGCTGACCCTCTACTTTACCAACCATGATGTCCTTGTCCAGGGACTGGTCCCTCCTGATAACATGTCCAAATATGTGAGACGAAGTCTCGCCATCCTTGCTTCTAAGGAGCATTCTGGTTGTACTTCAAATCGTATTTGTTCATTCTCCTGCCAGCCCATGGTACGTTCAGTATTCTTCACCAACACTATAATTCAAAGGTATCAGTACTTCTTTGGTCTTCCTTATTCATTGTCCAGCTTTCACATGCATATGAGGTGATTGAAAATACCATACCTTGGGTCAGGCACACCTTAATCCTCAAGGTGACATCTTTCCTTTTTGATACTTTGAAGAGGTCCTTTACAGCAGATTTGCCCGATGCAGTATGTCATTTGATGTCTTGACTGCTGCTTCCATGGCTGTTGATAGTGGATCCAAGTAAAATGAAATCCTTGACAACTTCAGTCTTCTCCCCATTTATCATAATGTTGCTTATTGGTCCAGTTGTGAGGATTTTGACATTTTAGGGAACATTAAAAATCATGCCTGATGGTATTTAAGCACGTATCTGTTGATTTCTTTTATGTAAAAAAGAAGAGACATTCCAAAGGATCTGTTCAGCTGTAATTGATGCTATCTGAAAGAGTGACTGCATTCATATTTAGCTAATTCATCTCAATGGGCTATTGTGTTTATTTAAATTGCAGGAGACAAGACACCTGACAGCATGAGATATGCTTCTCATTGAGGTCAGATTCGTGAATGTCTTTGTTTCGCGACAAAGATCATTATTTTGTGCTGTCGGTGGTTTCTTCTCAGTGGCTGTGGATGTAGATGGAGTTTTCTAAGTGGAAGCTTTTAAAATGAAAGATTACCAAAATTGTTTGAGCGTATTTTAGGCCGTGAGAGGCTGGTGATGAATAGGAATCAAGTATTCCCGGGGGAACCCTAACAAAATAGATGTGTTTGTAGGCATTCGACACCCAAAGCCAAATGGCTACCTAGACTGCCGACTCATTGCAAATGCCACTGGCTGCAGAGGGGAAAAGGCAGCCCACACGCCCCTTCCCTCGCCTCCCATACCTCTCCCTTGCCTTTCCCTCTCTCTCGCTGGTATACGTGATGACCGACAGTGGTTTTGCCCTTCTTTCCAATGACTTGTCGCCATGTAACCAAAACCACCAGTTGCCACTGAGTGGATTCTGACTCATGGCGACCCCATGTGTGTCGTAGTAGAATTGTGCTCCATAGGGTTTTCAATGGCTGATTTTTTGGAAGTAGATCACCTTCTCTGGGTAGACTTGAACCTTCAACCTTAGTAGCCGAGAGCGTTAACCATTTGCACCACCCAGGGACTCCTGATGTCGTGTAGATGCCACCTACACCCCACCACCTCATCACTGTGATGAGCACAAGGATAAAGAAGATCCAGGGTGCCTTTGTTAAGAAATCCCAGCTCCACCTTTTACAGCTAGCTGGTTTCAAGAGTGAGGATGAGGCAGAGGGGAACGTGTTTTGGATGCGATTATTCCCACTCGTAATTGCACCCTGAAGTTCTGGCTGTTAAGTGAGCGTGGCCCCCCGCCAGAAGTATGCCGTGCCATCGGAGAATAGAGAAGGAGCCTCCTAAATCTGCATCAGAGACGGCGCCTCTGCCTAGGACTGTTTTCCCTCTGGTTTGTGGAGTGTGTTCTGTTGACCAGTCGAACCCTCAGCAGAAATAAACGCAGTTATGAACCAGTCTTCAAGAACGTTCAGGGACCTGTTGAGGGTTGATATAGCGGAATACAGGGATTTGGATTACCAGTTTGTTGAAACCAAAATGTGAAAAGTTAAATTATTGTACAAGTTTCAGAAGAAGTTCTAAACCATCATAAAGGGGCAGCGTGACTTTGGCCCAGGCTGGCGGGCCTGGCCTCCAGTCCTGAATGTAAGTCGTGCATGGAGACCATCAGATCAGAGCGATTGAAAGTATGGATTACAACCCCCTGGAGAAGCTGGTTCTTACTAACTGTGGAAAGTAGGGGTGAAGACGGTGGGCTCTGGAGTCAAGCTGCCTTGGTTCAAATCCTGGATGCCCCTCTTTCAAGCTGCAAGGCTTTTGGGCAGGTTACTTAACGTCTCTGTGCCTCAGTTTCCCCGTCTGTAAAGTGGGGATTATAATAGTGCCTTTCTCATCAGATTCTTGTGAAGGTTAATGGGTTAAACATGTGAAAGGGCTTAGAGCAGTGCTTGGCAAATAAGAAGTACACAGTTAATAGTGAGCCCTGGTGGTGCAGTGGTTAAAGCGCTTGGCTCCTAACTGAAAGGTTGGCGGTTTGAACCCACCAGTCACTCTGCGGGAGAAAGATGTGGCAGTCTGCTTCTGTAAAGATTTACAGCCTTGGAAACCCTATGGGGTGGTTCTACTTTGTCTTCCAGGGTCGCTATGAGTCGGAATTGACTCCACGGCAGTGGGTTTTTTGTTCATTTAGTAGTGGTCATTAACCATTATCTGCAGGCCTGAAAGAGTTAACAGCAGTATTATAGAGTGATGTTGTGGATTTATTTAGATGAAATGTCCTTCACTTAGTGATTTAAAAACTTAACTCTTTTGTTGAGTTCAGAAAAGTCACTTGAATTTATGACTTTGTATTGTTTGGAGGGTATAAACGTTGCATGACATTTAGTAACCGCCTATGAAGTTAATCAGTTTCGGCCTGGTGGTAGAATCATGGCGTTCTCAACCATCGTTGGAGAGAAAAATATGTTTTCTTTTCCCCTTTAAAAAATTAAAATATATTTAGTGATGTGATTTTTCAGTTTGTTATATAAGGTGCTGGGAAATTTGTGATGTCTCCCTGGATTATTTTATCATATTAGGATGATAGTATACTATTGATTACCATTGAAAGTAAAGCCCAGTGGATAAGTTGATGTGGCTTGTAGGACAAAGTGCTTTTACTAGTGTGTGTATGTGATTGCTTAATAGGTATGGCGATCGAAAAATGGTATGTGTTGGAGGACTCAGCTGCTGCTATTGTGTGTGTTGTTACTGTGTTCATAAAATAGCGTTTTCAAACATGGTTCAACATGAAATTATTTGCTGGCACCAAGAACAAGAGAGAAGAGAGCGCCTCAAACACTTCTCCCCTCCTTAATCGCCATAAACCAATAAATAGTCCATCTCTAGGGACCTTTTGCCAAATCAGCTGGATTAGACTTTTGAAAGTATTCTCTTAATGTAAACATTATCCATTTCCCTTTTACTTAGAAAGATTTTGCAAATATCAGATCTTTCGCATACAAAACCAAATAATCTTACCTGTTCGGAGTTCAGTCATGGAGATGAAGATATCCATTTATATACATTTTGATGTTGTTTTCCAAAACAGGAGCGCCATACTGGACCAACACAGAGAAGATGGAGAAGCGACTGCACGCTGTCCCTGCGGCCAATACCGTCAAGTTCCGCTGCCCCGCTGGGGGGAACCCAACGCCGACCATGAGGTGGCTGAAAAACGGGAAGGAATTTAAGCAGGAGCATCGCATTGGCGGCTATAAGGTAGAATTCAGCTTTTAAGTTATTTCTTAAATTTTTTATTTATTCCTTTTTTTAAGTGCTCCCCAAGTTTGCAGGAACTAGAAGGAATATATTTTTTAACAAGTTGATTATTTTCATAATGGATAATTTGCAGTGCTTAATGATTTTATAAATTATCCTGGACTTGCATGTCATATTAAAAGTACAGTCCCCATTTGCATTGTTCTTTATATGAGAAAGGTTTAATAACAGAAGGGTCAAAAGTTGAATGTCTGTTTTCTATATGCTTTATAGTCTATAAAACTAAAACTGAAGCAGAATTTGAGAAGCGTAAGTACAGTTGCTCTGGTTGAACAGCATTAATAGTCATTGAACTTGAATTGTTATCACTAAATTATACACTTAAAAAAGGGTGAATGGGCAAATGTGTTATGTATCTATTCACAGCAATTAAAAAAAAAGTAGTCCATGGGCTTGGATTAGAGACTGGAGTCTGAAATATTATGAAAAGCGAGTGCTTCAGAGATGACAGAAGCAATGCCCAGTCCCCTAGCTTCACGGATTCTCAAGCGCCCAGCAGAGAATGTCGGGAAACTCAGTCTCACGCAACGCTGTTGTTGTCATCACGTGCCTTGGTGTCGATTCTGACTCACAGCAACCCCATGTGACAGAGTAGAACTGCCCCATAGGGTTTTCTTGGCTGTCATCTTTACGGAAGCATATTGCCAGGCCTTTCTCCTGTGGAGCTGCTGGGTGGGTTTGAACCACCCACCTTTTGGTTAGCAGCCGAGTGCTTAAGTGTTGTGCCACCGGGACTCCGCGTCACATGCTGGGAAGGTTGAAATCGACAGCTTCTCCCTGGAGGTGTCTGCCATGGAGACCAAATGCTTGTTCATGCTTTGTCTGTCGGCAGATGCTGGTTGAGCACCTTTTTCACAAGCACTGTCCTAGGCTCCAGGGAAGGGAAAGGGCAGGGCACGGCACCAGCTCACAGGGGCTCCCAGTCTAGCAGGGCAGGCAGACAAGTGAGCTGGCAGTCAGGGGGCACTGTGATCTGAGTGAAGCCAGCAGAGTGTGCCGAGTCTAGATGTGCAAGGAGAGGTTGGTATTGGCTCTTTGGGAGACTGAGGGCAAAGAAGGCCAGGGAAGGATTCTGGGCAGAGTTTGAAGGAAGGGTATCCCAGAAAGAGAGCGACATGAATCTCCAAATTACTTAGCATGGATGGGGAGGATGTGAGGAATTTAGTGTATGAGGAAGACTTAAAGAAACCTCACTGTGAAATCCTTTGGTGCATTTGGAGCATGAATGGGTGTATTCGTTACTATTGTTGTTGTGTTAGGTGCTGTCGAGTTGGTTCCGACTCACAGTGACCCTGTGTACAACAGAATGAAACGTTGCCCAGTCCTGCGCTGTCCTGTGCCATCCTCAGAATTGTTACGCTTAACCCCATTGTGGCAGACACTGTGTCAATCCATCTGGTTGAGGGTCTTCCTCAAAAAAATTATCTATTGCTGTGTAACAAATTACCCCAAAACGTTGTGGCTTAAAACAACACTTATTATCTCACAGTTTCCATGGGTCAGGAGTCCAGGTGTGGCTTAGCAGGGTCTTCTTTCTCAGGGTCTTGCGAAAGTTTGCAGTTAAGGCTGTAGTTCAGGCTGAGGTCTGAAGGCTCTAGTGGAGACAGATCTACTTCTAGACGCAGTTATGTGATTATTGTCAGGATTCGCTTCCTCTTAGACTGTTGGACTGAGGGCCTCGCTTCAGCGCTGGCTGTTGGCTGGAGGCCACCTTCAGTTCCTTGGTATGTGTACCTTTCCAATATGGCGGCTCACGACATGACAGCTTGCTTCATTGGAGTGAGAGAACGAAAAGAGAGAGAAAGAGCGTGAGGTATTCAGAAGTCACAGTCTTTTGTAACCTAGTCATGGAAGTGACATTCCATCACTTTTACTGTATTCTGTTATTAGAAGCAAGTAACTAGATGTCTTAGTTATCTAGTGCTGCTATAACAGAAATACCACAAGTGGATGGCTTTAACAAAGAGAAGTTTATTTTCTCGTAGTCTAGTAGGCAAGAAGTCCAAATTCAGGGCGCCAGCTCCAGGCGAAGGCTTTTTCTCTCGGTCGGCTCTGGAGAAAGGTCCTTCTCGTCAATCTTCCCCTGGACTAGAAGCTTCTCCATACAGAAATCCTGAGTCCAAAGGACGCAGTCTGCTCCCAGTGCTTCTTTCTTGGTGGTATGAGGTGTCCCTGTCTTCTCTGCTCACTTCTCTCTTTTATATCTCAAAAGAGATTGGCTTGAGACACTGTCTAATCTTGTAGATTTCATTAATATAACTGCTGCTAATCCATCGTATTACATCATAGTGGTAGGATTTACGACACATAGGGAAATCACCTCAGATTCCAAAATGGTAGACAATCATACAGTAGTGGGAATCATGACCTAGCCAAGTTGACAGGTATTTTTTGGGGACACAGTTCAATCTGTGACACTAGGTCTAGCCCACATTCAAGGGGAAGAGATTACTCAAGGGAATGAGTTCCAGGAGACATGAGATCACTGGGAGCCATCTTGGAAACCTGCATAATAGATAAAAGACGGAATGGCTTCAGCTCTGACTCCAGGTGCTTAAAAACCAGGTGGGGAGGATTTACGGGCAGCAGCAGTGGGATGCCTGGAAGGACTTTTCTAGGTGCGCCTCTCACATGTGCTAGCACACCAGTGTCACTTCAGATGGCACTGTTGTGGTTAAATGAGCTTTCTCTCCACACAAAAGTGTCCCCTGGAACCCTGTTTTGAAACACCTTATACAGTGACTCATTCTTAAAAGATTATTTCTGCAAAAAATTTTTTATTTATTTCTTTAACCTTTAAAAATTAACATCTAGAAGCCAAAGCCCAGAGGAAAGTAGGTAGAGCCTAAGAGTAAATTTCTAAGAGCATGTATGGGGCAGTTTATGTGTGGGGCAGATGTAAGGCCCATCTGCGAGAAGTTGAGTGCTTTTACGCTGTGCAAGTAGAAATAGCTCAGTTGTCCTCCAGAGCTTACGTTCACCAGTTGAAGAAGAGGGTGATTTTTCCTTTGTTCTCTTTTCAGTTCTCACACCAGGTATAATGAGACTGGAAGGTTGGTGTCTTAATTACCTAGTGCTCCTGTAACAGAAAGACCACAAGTGGCTGGCTTTGAAGAACAGAAATTTGATTTTTTTCGCAATTTAGGAAGCTGGAAATCCAAGTTCAGTACATGGCTCTAGGGGAGGGCTGTTTCTCATTTCTGTCATTTCTGGGGGAAGAGCTTGTCTCCTTCAGCATCTGTAGCCCTGGCGTTCCTGGGTTCCTTGGCGATCTCCACGTGGCATCTGTCTTCCCCTATTTGTGCTTCCTTCTGGGTCTTGTCTGCTCTTTTTATAACTCAGGAGTGATTAGGTTTAGGACAAATCCTACACTGGTATGACATCATTAACATACCAAAGAAACCCTATCCCCAAATGGGATTATATCCACAGGTATGGGGGTTAGGATTCCAACACATATTTTTGGGGAACACAATTCAGTCCGTAACAGTTGGCCTTTTTTGTTTGGGTATGTTTTAGAATAAATAGACAAGGATTGGAAGGGCAGAGTTGTGCCACTAAAATTGTGGCCCCTGGCATTGTTCTAACCACGACGTTCTCTCTGAAAACTCACATAATTGATGCAGTTCCAAGGGCTTATTTATATATAATTTAAGTACAAGAATGGTGAAATCTTGGTGGGTAGCTAATTTCATCAGTTAAGACAGGCTTGTAAATAAGGACAAAGAGTGGATGAGCCTCAAAGAGCCTCCAGAGATTCTTCCTTAACAAAATACACGGAACCAGCATCATCATTATGGAGCTGTTTGCAGATCTGAATTAGTGATTACAAATACGTAGGGGAGCTGAGGTTGCCTAATGAGAAAATGCTGCTTGATTTTTAACAGGTGCAGTTCAGTTTTGATTAGTTACGGCAGCACCCAGCTAAATGCAGGGCACGCATGTTCTAGAAGCAAAGCGAGGCTCTTCCGCACACCCCGCCCCCAGCAGAATACCTTTAGTCTGTCCCTGCAGAGGTGCAAGACAACCAAAGTGTCTTTGTCATTTCATGTCTGAGCTGTTTCTGGAGTGAAAGAGAAATGGAATTTGAGTGCGTGGGAGGAAAAATCTAAAATATATTTTGCTAAAAAACAAAACAAAACAAAAAAAGGGCAGCGTGGGGATGAGTGCTGGCCCTCGGAATGTGGTGTCTGGTGAGAACTAGGAGCGTGTGTCTTGTCCTGCTGTGCTGTCTGGGGTGGAGAAGGAGGCTGTGGTTTTGGGGCCCGGCAGCCTGGGAGGTCAGCCTTTGAGATGGACAGGTAGTCAAGCTGGACTGAGTAAAGGATTTTCACAATGGTTGTGGCATTTTACATTCATTTTGAGGATACTGGGGACTCTTAGAAATTCCATGGAGCCCCAGAGGCTTCTGGGACTTTAAAAGAGAGAGAAATCGCTCATCTCTTGGGAAAACTTAGTTACCTAAAGCTTGTTGTTAGGTGCCATCAAGTTGGTTCCAACTCATGGTTACCCTCTGTACAGCAGAATGGAACACTGCCCGGTCCTGTGCCATCCTCACTGTCGTTTGTATGCTTGAGCCCACTGCTGCAGTCACTGCGTCAGTCCATCTCGTTGAGGGTCTTCCTCTTTTTCACGGACCTTCTGCTTTACCAAGCATGATGTCCTTCTCCAGGGACTGATCCCTCCTAAAAGTTTAAACCAAAAACCAAACCTGTTGCTGTTGAGTCGATTCCGACTCATAGCGTCCTCGCTAAAGCAGTTGCTGTCAAGTTGACTGCAACTCATGGCAACCCCCATGTGTGTCAGAGTAGAACTGTGCTCCATAGGGTTTTCAGTAGTTGATTTTTTGGCTGTAGATTGCCAGGCTTTCTTCCAAGGCACCTCTGGGTGGATCTGAACCTCCAACCTTTTGGTTAGCAGCTGAGTACTTTAACTGTTTT